CGCCCTTGTCTTTTTGTGGGATTTACCTTCAAATCGCACATAATTTCACTCGTAATGTAAGTGAGCTCAGCGATTTATGAAATTTTTCTAAACCTAATACAGGAGAGGCAAGACATTTTGTCTTCTTGCGCTTGGCGAACTTTCATAAGCATGCTTTCATAATCTGGCAATGTCTGCTACGCAAAGAAGAAAGCTCAACAGAGGTTCATCGGGGCTGGGGTACGGTCCGATAAGGACTACAAAAACCTACAATCACAACTCTATGACAATCCTTCTTCGGCGCCTTTGGTATCTCGTCCTGAATCTTCCGAACCCAGCTTCTCTTATGAATTTGCTCTTACAATTGAGGACATTGTCTATGCTCGATATCTGTACATTTCGTCTGAATAAAAACGTACTCACCCCAGCTCTTCTGGAGAGTATAGATGTTATCCCATTCACACTTGATCATGGCTCTTTCAAAGCCATCTGAATCATGACCAATTTAAATTCATGGAATGCCCGATTTACATGTTTACTCTCAACCAATGTTTTAACTTCTTTATCGCCAAAGCTTAATCTTTGCTGAGTTTGTAGTAAAGTTAAATCGCTCTTAATTTCTGGCTTTCTTGGATATTATCGTGAAAATTGTTCGATAACATTGTTTTCATTCTTTGACAACTGATAGTTAAGCTGCCCAAGAATATAAGAGATGCCTTTATGTCACCATCTCCATATCTCTAATATGTTTTCGCACATGCCCTGGTTATCTTTTCGAATTAAACTGTGTTCATATTCCTTGCGGATGGACCCACAAATTTATTTCAGGGCCAGCCAAGTGCACGTACTCTGGTCAAATCTGTATACTTATGTTATATAATGGGCATCAGTCGACGGCCTCCCAACTGTGAAAGTGTTTCACACTTCAGTTATGGACAGAAATCTTTCACCCGCCCTTACTGTTCATTCGTCCTTTCCGTATTTAGGTGCTTCGTGGTGAGAACTACGGCCGCGCCTGTGACGTCTGGTCTGTAGGCTGCTGCCTCCTCGAGATGCTCACCGGCAAGCCACCCTGGAACGATTCTTATGCTACTAATAGCCTAGCTCTTCTCTACGAGGTAAGAATGATGAGTTTGCATCCTGATCATTTTGCTACATATTGTCCTAATTCAACAGTACAGATTCACAAGATGTGCAGCCTTTAATGCTTGATTGGTGATTAACTCTAATTTTCCATTTTTGGTAGCGAAATTCGTTGAAAGCGACAACGATATGTTGTCAATTCAGGTTACTCGGGTCCGATAATTATGGAATCAGGGAGACTGCACTTTATATTCCATTTATAAGTAGGGTTTCGAGACTAGCAGTACATCTGCTACGAGATGTATTCACTTTATTTCGTTCAAGGTGATGAGGGACTGGTAATTATATT